ACCAGTGTTTAATATTCTAACTACAGTCCAGATGTAACATTTACAATGAAAAATACTTACAGATTCAACCTCATACTCAAAAAAATTCTAGTACAAATACAGTTAGTACATAAAAAAAATGAACAACAAAAAAAAAACCAATCCCAGAAACTTCGTAACAGCACAGACTGGTTATGGCCTTGAGTTAAGTTCAAGTATTTCCCAGTGGAATGCAATGCAAGCAACAAGGTAATCTGGCTTTTATGTGGGACATTCCTGGCCCTGAATGGTAAGAATAGAAATATAAGTATGGGCACTTTATCCAACCAAGTTTAGCATGAGAGTCAACATTTATGATTAGTTCAGCTACAAAGCTAAACCCATCTTGTGTGTGAACAAAACTACTAACCTGTGAAAAAAAAGGCAAAGCATGAATTATACTACTGGTGTTTCTTCCGTGGCCGACGCTGCCTGTCATCTAATTGAAATTCCTCGAGACGCCGGTTTAGTCTGTAATGGTTGTGATGGGTTTTTTGCTTGTGGTTATGCTTATTTCACCTCTCTAGCCTTTTTCTTTCCAAACTGACATGATAAAAGAGGGGATGCCTGCTCCTGCCCCAAAAGGAGTCACTCCTGCAGAGACATTAATATATGTTGGTCACCTTTGTGGTGGTGACTCAGTGGAAAAACACAATATCCTAAAACGGTTAGAGGCCAAGGAGTGGAGGAGGAAGGGGGGAAGTGAGCAACTCAATATATGTAATAATAATAATCCTTTATATTTCTAGGGCTGTCTGACTCATGCTGGCTCCTGTGTGCAGCTCAGATGGGATCTGGGAGACCTGGGGTCACTGCTCCCCAGGGTCAGAGCAGTCAGCAGTGTCCTCTAGGCTGGCTGGGACCTTGCAGGCAACTTTGCATGTCTCCCAGGCAGCCCATGACACCGGAGCAGTCCTGCCGGGGAATGTGCCCTTGTGCTTCTGTTCCTGTCAAAACGCTTGGAAAACAAGATCAGCTTCCATTTGCAAAGCATTTTATGCAAGAAAGTGTTTCAAGCCTGATAGATGAGCGGGGCTGGCTGGAAGGAAGGCTGAGAGAGAGGTTGTTCTGTCTCCCTGCCCAACGAGGAGGTTGTATTGATCGCCCAAGAGTCTGCCCTGGCTCTAGTACTCGTCAATACTGCAATTATTGACTTTCACTATGGAAAACAGTGTGTGTGTGTTAAATATGATGGTGACACCAGCCGGGAGGAGGCTGCAAATCTGCTGTAGGACCAACTGATCATTCAAAACTCCCTTGTGCACTGGGTCCGTGGTGTGAAAATAAGAAAAAGGCAGTCTGAAGGAGGGCAGGAAGATCCTGGCCGTACAAGCACACATCTGCAGAGAGGGGCAATCCCCATGCCTGCAGAAGATGGGGTTTCAGGGAGGACCAGGGTGGCAGATGGGTGCATGAAGAGGAGCAGGGTGGAAAGGTGGCCGAAGGGCCAGTGCTGCTGCACTGCTGGGAAGACATGGACTGGCTGGTGGTGGCTCAAAGACACAAAGGAAAACTGTGCTGGAAGAGTAGCTCTCAGAGAAGGGTTGATGAGATTGGAGCTGTTTAACTTAAAGCAGACTTCAGGAGGATGAAAACAGTCTTCAAACACCCAAAAGCTTCCGCAGACATTAAAGTCAAGAGATGTTCTCCATGCCTGCTGAGGAGAGCAGATGCCAGATGTTGCAGTGAGGGGGGTTCATTTTAGCCATTAAGGAAGAATGGAATGGTGGCAAGTTAGCACGAAGATCCATGGTCCTTTCTGGCCCTGTTGCTCTAAGTGTCTCTGAACCTGCAGCCGTGGAGCCCTGGGATCTCGTCCCATTGGGCACTGACCAGCTATATCATTGGGGCAGGGGGTGTAGCCCTGTGTATAAAATGGGTTTAATGGGTCAGTCAGGTCCCTGTGATCAGGTTCTGGGGTTTGGGGCTGAAAATCTGCCCCCTGCTTTCCCCACAGTGAAGCGTTTGCTAGGATGGTTTCCTGAAGCAAGAGCAAGGGAGGCACACGCCTGTTCCTGCACTTGGTGGCTCGCAAGTGAATCTGCAGGTCAGCGGGAGCCGAGGGGCTGATCTGAGTCATTGGGAAATGCTCAAGCCATGTCTGGGGCTGGGGGAGGCGTCACCAGTATGGGTAGCAGAAATCCAAAATCTGGACTCCTGCACAGCACAGCGCCTTCCAGCATTGCATGAGAAGGACAAGTTTTTCCAGGGCTGTGATATTGCTGCTCATCTCAAAAGAATCAGAAAAACCCAGGCAGCATCCAACCATCACTCTCAGAGTTTCCATCCTTCCCCTGGGATAGTGACTTTAAATACACACTGTTTCCTGTGGGACACAAGGCTGGTGATAAACAAGGAGTCACATCCATGTGGAGGACAAGCCATGTGCCCTGGACAGCTGTAATGACTAGGGAGCAAATTTCCACCCAGCAGCACCTCTGCTCTCCTCCCCAGCAGCCCTGGGCTGTGGACCTGCATGCATTTACCTTCATGATAGCACCACTGTCAGCAGCCAGCCTCTCCTGCATTGCCCGGCGCAGCCCCAGCCCAGGAGAACACGTTCCCACACGTGGGACAGGGACCGACAGCGCAGTTGGATATGTTTGTCTCCCCACCGCCGTGGTGTGAACTTTCCGAACCTTTCATTCAAAATTCACAGCAGAAAGGCCATCCCTCCACAGGACAGGTGTGTTACTCCTGACCATTGCTGGTTGGGGGATGCGCTGATCCTCCTCCTGGATGAGGCTGTCCATTTTCGAGGGGAAGATCCCTAGCAGTGAGAGCAGGCAGAGCTCCAGGTATTTTACTGATGGACCAGGAACCAGCGGGACCAGGAACAAGCCTGAAAGTATTCCCCAGACTGTTATGCAAAGCCATACTGAATATTTGTAGCTGGATACCTCATAGGATGTTTCTTTGCTTTCTTTTTAAACCTACTTTTTTGCTGCCAGCGCTGTTCTTTAATGGCATGGCAGAGCTCAGTCAAAGTTACCAGGCACTGAAGGCCATACTCAGGTGTTTCATACAGGCCAAAAGGCCAGACCGCCCAGGGAACAGGCATCCTCAAGGCTTTCAGAGACCAACCTCAAGGACATGAGAAAGACACCCAGCAAGAAGTCATGTAGATCCAATGGATAAGAAATACTGCCATAGAATCAGATGGAGACCTGCATGTGATTTTGGGTGGCTAGCATGGCCCCGAGAGAAAAGCTCGGCACAGGGACGGTGCTGCGTTTGGTGAGGATTTACTTCTTTTGCGTTATGTTTGATCTTGAAGGCTCTGCCTATTTGAGTGTTCCACAGTGGTGAATCAACCATTGCACTCTTGGGAGGTTGTGAGAGCATCTGCCAAGCCACAGGCATTTTGGGAACATCCCAGGCACGAAACCTGCTCTGAGACTAGGCAGAGTGGCGCAGTGACTGGTTTCAGCCTCTACCGTTCGGCAGGAGATGCTCCCTGTGCTCCCAGTGAGGAGGTTTTCTTTCTATTTTGTTACTGGAGGGGAACAAAGCCACAGCCCCACAGCTGTGCAAGACACACGGGATGAAACCACCCTGACAAAGCACGTCCTCAGCACTAGCAGGACCCTTGGAGCTCAGCAGCTTGGTTTTAACATGCCCCCAGATTTCTGTAGCTGCATGAAAACCACCCTAAACCCAAGCCAAGCTCAAAAAGCTCCCCATAAACTAGTGAAGAACTTCCTGCTACTGTCCTGTCCCCGCTGAAGCCAGATCTTCTGCTAAGCCCCCCAAGCAAGTGTGTGAAACCTGCCAGTTCCCCAGGGGAGGCTGGAGGCCAGAAGCCCGAAGACTGCTCCAGGATGAGATCAGCCATAGTCCTGGACCAGCCGCGTTTTCCCAGCGGAGGTGGAAGGCTGTGAAATTACCAGAGGGTTGATATTACATTTATATATATCTCTCTATGTCTATATTCACACACACATGTTCATATGTGTCTGTATATATACGTACATGTACACGCACACACATCATATACACACTAGGCATAGATCTGCCATCTGCCACTATTTATAAGGGTTTGATTAAACAGAAAAACAAATTTGCCAACACTGATCTTCCAATCTCTACTAATATTCAGCAAATAAAGAAGTCTAAAACCTTTATGATTTTGTTTTCCTGGTTGCATAAAGGCACTTTCTGATGATGTGAAGCAGCAGTTTGTTAAAAACTCTGTAACTGCAACAATTCCCATCAGAGCTGTAGCAAGCGCTACACAGGCACTGGTATGATGCAATGTCACTGCTCGCTCCTGCTGCGTAGTGTTTGGTCGTAATTGCTTTTTGCTTCGATGCAGAGGAATAAAAGACAAAAACCTTCAGCGCCATGCTACGCTTTTAGGTCTCCCTGTGTAAGACAATTGCTGTGTTTCTGCCCCATAACCTCGTGGCTCGCAGCATTGAACGATGCCTTCGTTTCCAGCGATGCCTGCTAGAGCATCTAACAATTCAGGCAGGACATCAGCTGTAAGTGTGTCATGAAGGTTCATGCAATACGTCAGTTGTTTTCTTTTCTTATCAAGGGATCAGAAATTAATTTTGATTAAGGATATTTAGTAATTAAACACTGCCTGACCTACAGCACTCTAGCCTCGCCGGGCAGGAGGGGAGCCGCTTGCTGTCAGCCTGACTTCTGAGCCACCAGCAGCTCCGCTTCCCATCACAGCACGTTGTACAGTCTCTGTTGGGGGCTCCTGTGGTGACCGAAGGGGTGGGAGATGCAGGGGGTTTGCTGTTGCTCACTGGAGGTTCCCAACTGGAGAACACATTGGAAGCAGGAAAGAAATGTCTTTTGTTAATGCACTGGAAGACAGCTCTAAATTGGTCTGAAACTCCTTTTCTCCCCTGGCTTCCATATAAAAATTGCGCCTGTGCCCTGTGAAACGAACCCAAACAATACCGAAAACCAGAAACAAACCAAAATAAAAACCCCACTTACGCTGCCCTCTCTCCTTTCAGATGAAGCTATATCCATACAGACGTCTTTCCATCTTTACTGCTTGAGCTCCCTTTCTCCAAGCAGGCCTTGGGTTTAGCACCTTGTTTCTCCTGGGCGGTGTTGGCCCTGTTCTGCTCTACCACCGTGCCACCTGAGGCGGGACTGCTGGTTCGAGAAGGTTGTGTGTTGGCCTGGGTGCTGCTGTAGCTCTGAAATGCTATGTCTAACTGCTCCTGGGCCACTCGCAAGTGTTTGTGAAGGGTGGACAAGTCTGCCGGGAGGTTCTCATCCGGGCTGGTGCACTGCTGCTCCTGAGCGACATTAGCCAAGTTCTGCTCGTGAGCCATCAGGCTGTTGGGGATCTTGGTGGACTTCTCTGATTTCACTACCAGGTTGTACTCGGGAGGGCAGGAGATATTCTTTGGGTAGGCATAGTTGTAAGGAGGCTGCCTAAAACTGTTGATTTTCCGGTTGCGAATGGCATCTCGGATGGTCCCAAACCCCAGGTGAAACATCTCACACATGTTCAGCAATAAGCACAGGCAGCTCACGACGTACATCACCAGGAGAAAGATGGTCTTCTCTGTTGGTCGGGACACAAAGCAGTCCACAGTGTGAGGGCAAGGGACTCTGTTGCAGACGTAATAGGCTTCTACCTCAAAACCGTAGAGCAAATATTGCCCTATCAAAAAGCAAACTTCAAACGAAGCTCTGGTAAGTAGCTGGAAGACATAGATTTTCATCAGTCCTTCTTGCTGGATGCGCCTCCTCCCGTCGTGCTTTTGTTGCTCTTTGCTTTTGGGCTTGGCTTTGGCTTTCTCGTTTTCAGCTGTGTCGTCAGAGATCATGGGCTCCTCTTCGTCAGCCTCCATTGGGTCCTCCATGTTGCGCACTGCCTGCCAGTTCAAAGCAAACTGCTTCTTCTTCTTGAATCCCTTGAACTTCTTCTCCTCCTCCGCCGACCGGGCGATCCTGTGGATGGCATAGCCCAGGTACATGACCGAAGGGGTGGATATCATGATGATCTGGAAGACCCAGAACCTGACGTGCGACAGCGGCGCGAAGGCATCGTAACAGACGTTGTCGCAGCCGGGCTGCTTGGTGTTACAGGTGAACTTGCTCTGCTCATCGGAGTAGATGGACTCCCCCCCCACCGCTGTCAAGACAATGCGGAAGACGATGAGCACGGTGAGCCAGACCTTCCCCACGAAGGTGGAGTGATTGTGAATCTCTTCTAGCAGGCGGGTTAGAAAGCTCCAGCTCATGTTGGTCATAAGGGCTACTCAGTTATAACCTGCAGGAAGAGGGGGAAGAAAAAACGTAGCTGTAAGTTAACATCTGCGGCTGCAGTCAGTCATATGGCCGTGACATTGGCATATCTGTGACGGATGAGGTCATTTGATGTCAGAGGCACCCTTCACTGCTGCAGCCTATCTCCCCAGGACCTGTGAGGGACCATGACATGGGGCTGACCCCCGCAGCATCGGGGTATGAGCCGTGGCCAGTGCGGGGACATGCTGCATCGCCATAATCGGAGGCAGGGATAGCTGGTGGTACTAGAAACGCACAGATTCATAACACAGAAAGCCACAGCACCTCCTAGATCCACCATTACCCACTTTGTTGCCTGTTTCAAGACGTTTCTCAGCTGTAAGAAGGGTTTGGGTCACTGTGAATTGAACGCAAGGCACTGTGGAAACTACCTAGGCACAAAAAGGTGCTTAACTTGTGAGAATCTCTTGCTTGCATGCCATGAGCTCACGTGCCTGAGCTGAAAGCGGGAGTAGGGGATGCTGCCCACATCACAAAGACTTGCACTGCTGAAATATCTTTCATTAGCAAACCCAGAAAAATGCAAAGAATCAGCAAAAGAATGGCAATATTTATGTTTACAGGCTGATGGCCCTTTTAAGTTCCTTTTGAAAAAACAAAACAAAACAAAACAAATGTTTAATCAAATGCAGACTGTTTTAAAAATAAACCTTGAAAAGCTTTCAGAGAAAACCATGCATGTATTAGAAGACCTGGACAGCTGGGGAGGAAGAGCTTGTAATAACCATTTTGTGTTTAGCTTAACTTGCAATGGGGCCTCAGCCCGAGCTCCTTGGGTGACGCCAGGCATCATTAAAGGCAGGCAGCAATTTTACTGCTTGACTGGCAGCAGCCCTGACAGATACCCGGAGATGAGAGCAATATGGAAAGCACTCAGACCCAAAGAGCACCGTGGCAGGGGACAGCGGAGCTCTCACTCCAGAGCAGCAGAGGAGGGGATCATCCTTTCTGCTCCCCTGCATCCCTCCTCTGAATCATCCTCAGGCTCATCATGGAGTTTACCCACCTTGTTTGCATGCAGACACCTGACGGCGGGCAGTAAATTAGGCATCTGCAAACCCAGTCCCACCCATAAATTGATGCCTACCACTGCACCCAGAAGCAGTGGCAGACGCAGGAGCCAAGCACATAAGCGTGGACACAAGTGAGTTATTGAGGGGTAGCACATGGCAGCGGTGTGTTATGGCTCAGCGGTAGCTGCCCCAGCACAGGCTACTCCCCTGCGGTCCTTCACCATCATGCAGAGGAAGAGAAAGGAGCTGTTGTCCATATTTTGAAAGAGTATGGACACCAAACCTACCCCTTCATGCTGGCTGAGCATGGCTGGGTGGAGGTAAATATGCAGGAGGGAAAATGATGCCATGAGACATGAGCCTGGTCCTAACCTGGCTTTGCACCACTTTTATATGGAAACAGAAGATTATGCCCTAGGATTTCCATGGCACAAGCTGGGCTTTGAGCCCATCACCCATGCCAGACACAGGGTGGGAGCAGCCACCAGCATCAGTCATGGGCACAGACCCACGTGGGAGCAAGAAGGGGAACATGCTTTGCTCTGTTCTTCACTTCGAGCCCTTCTGGAATGCGATTTTGCTCACGCTGCTTCTTAGGACAGGAGCCAAAGAGTGCTGGTTTGCTCAGCGCTCTCCTTTGTGCTGCCCCAGGAGGTAGCAGCGCAGTCCGAGGCTCAAGATGCAGTGAAATTCTTCCGCTGCCGAGGGCTCTCAAGAGCAGGCAGATGGAATTTTCTAACCCTGCTATTTCTAGATCAAACAAATCCTCTGCGAACCCAAACCCCCAAGTCTTCACACGCCAGACTGAGACTGTGGGAGCACTCTGCAGATGTTGTTATTCTTGTCTGTAGCTGGAGAAACTGAGGCAGGGAGCAGAGAAACAGCTCACTCTAGGCTGGGTAATAAGCCAGAAGAAGAGGTGGGGAAGGTCTTCCCTCTGCTCTCCACTGCCTGGTGGAGAACAACAGCCCTCAAAGCTGCTGGGACCAGAATCCCCATCTCTTGCCCCAAAAGTGATGCCTTGGGCACAATGGTCAGTACAGAAATGCTGCTGCAGATAGGACAATTCAGCCACTGCAGAAGAACGTGGAAAGCAATTGCCAGAGACCTAGTCTTTATTTATTGAGGAAACTGGATTTATTCAGGGGTGAAATGGGAAAACATCCTCTCTGAGTGCCTTTTTGCTTCTTTAGACTCAGTGGATACACTTTAAAGTGTCTTTAACCCTTCCTCTGATTTGCGTCCACATTCAGATATGGGCAAAATGGGAAGTTAAATGATTTGCAGGATTAATCCGGGCACTCGGCCAAGCTCCAGCTGACACGGGGCTGGGAAGGGAAGACCCCACTGGGTGCAGCGATGGCCTGCTGCGGGACATGGTGCATCCGTCTCTGGAGCATCTGGGTCCGGCCAAGGCAGGGCTGCGGCTTGGCTGGAGCACATGTCAGCCCCAGCTTGGCTGGCCACGTATGGGTGCTCGACCACCTCCTGGCTCCCATCTGCATCCCCAGTTACCTGCAAGCCCCAAATTGTTCTAAAACACAGGCTTCAAATGTCCTGTAGGGCAGTTCATTTATAAATTCAGTGCTGACCTAAAGGGTTTTTGAGGTCTACACCAGGGAAAATTTACCATTTTGCAAGTGTTAGTCAAGGACACAGTTCCCAAAGCTCAGTCACCTCCCAACAGCAGTTTTTCTGGGGCAGGGAGGGTCTGACCAAGGTAGTGGTGGCTTTTGGAGTAAATATTCAAGTTTTGATCTGATGTTAGTCAGGGTTGTTAGCAAAGCACCCACTGTCTCCTCTGGGAAACACCTTTCAGAAAGGAGCACCCGATAGCATTGGTTCAAAACACTCACAGACCTCCCAAGTCAGGGAGAAGGAAAGAAATTGCAAAATAATCAAAGTGGCGGGTTGTTGCTTTGAAAAGACCACCTCCGGTTACCAGCCAGCAGCCTGAGCTGTTGGTCCTGCCACTGACACTGCGGATCAGCCTTCCATGCACATCTGGATCTACAGGAACATCTGCAGGAAACAGCCTCGAGCTGTTTCTGTGCCCTTGGGACCCCGCTGTTGCCTCCATGTATGATCACACCTTGATGTTATTAATGTCCTATGTGTCCACCCACTCTCCTGGCACTGTATTTGAGAGCAGGAGCTGAAGGAAACGAGTTAAAAACCCCTCCTACAATCAGTTCAGTTAAACTTTCAGTGTTTTTTGCGACTCATTGGCTACAATGACTATACTATGAGATTTCAATGCCTTTAATTGCTTGGGGGGGGATTAGTACACCGTCATATTTTGGAATCAATTATAAGGCAAACAAGCTTCCAAGGAAGGATTTGTTCACGTTGCTTTTGCTGATGAATAGGATGGTGCTAGGAAAAGACTATGTCTCATCTCCTCACAATGACAACGATCAAAGCACAAAAAATGGATTTTTGCACCTTCTGTGTGCTTCAGACTAAATTTCTCCGTGCAATGGAACAGTTACACAGTCCATTTCCCTGGGGAAAAAAAAACCTGTGTGGATCTACAGCAGGTAGATGGATTAGATTAGATGGTTCATGTAGCTAAATTACCTGCCAGAGTGATTGCATGAGAGGACCCACCATCCCTCTGGCTTTGAAATCCCTTCATTTAGAGTCCCCTATCTTCACACATTGTCCCCACACTAGCTGACATGCAGCATGTGGGGTACAAGTTTCATTTTGAAACAGCTACAGAGGGGTGGTTGGTCCTCTCAAGGCATTTCTAATGCCTTTGGCTCAGTCTTAAAATAGTGAAAACTGCGTGTAGCCAGGGACAGGAATGAGCTGTTGGCTCCACGTTCTCATCACGGTTACTTTCCAAAACCTGCTGAGCCCTCTGCACAATTGCAGGCACAGCTGTTGGAACTAGGAAAACTTTCAAACCTGAGTCTAAAATAAGCAGAAGAAGGAAAAAAATAAATAGAAAAAAATATCTGTGCTAGCTGGATGTCCTTCCTTTCTGCACGGTTCCCACACCATTGCTTAAGCTGCAGGAAAAACAATGGGAAAAACATCTACTTACAGAGACATGGTGCTTCTTGTGGCGGCTTTCCCTCCTCCGCCGACATTCCTGTGCCGCCAGCCCTCTGCCTGGCCCTAGATAAACTCCAGCCGCCTCGGTCCAGCCATGGCCCAGCAGTTGGAAACCGGAGCTCAAGGGAAGTATTTAACGTGCTGTCAAACCCCGCCTCTGCAGTGGCCGAGCACCCACCGCCCAAAGGTCCTGCCCCAGCTGCCTGCACCCCTACGGTCGGTCCCACCGCCGCTCATGGCTCCTCTTCCCCTCGCCAAGCCTTGGGAGAAGGAGGGAAGGTGCTATATTTATATACCGGGGAAGAAAGGGGCACTGGTTTTAAATCCAAACAAGCCGCCGGGTCTGGTTTTAGGAACGCTGCCTGGAATTTTGCTGCTGAGCTCTTGAGCTGGTTGGAAGTAAATTAATAGCATCAGCTAGTGGCACTGGTAACAGATTTGTAAGACAGAGAGCATGACTAATAGGGAACATGTGGAAAACACATTTTGGCAAAATGTGTTCCTTGGTTGCTGGGAAAAAAATAATAATAAAAAAAGAGGCAAGGCTCACTAGTGAGAAACACCGCTGCGAAGCTCCTGCTTTGCTGCACTCCCAGGCAAGGCTTTCTCTGAAGGAGGTGGTGCACCTCTCTCCAAGATGGTGGATGGGAGCAGAGAGCAGATGAAGGATGGGGAAGGATTTTTAAGCACACATTGGAGACTTCTTGGCTTCTTTATAGAAGCAAGAAGAAATAAGAAGTAGTATGGGAATGTACATGAAGCCTAAGGCAAGTGGTGAAGAAAACCTCTATCCTGATGGTCCAAGGATCACCTCTCATCCCTGCTCCATCCATGGGGAGCTTTGGCATTGCCACCCCAATGGGATCAGGGCTCCAGGTAG